TTTTGCATCCCATGTTCCTATAAAATTTTGGGGAGATGTTGTCCTTACTGCTACCTTTTTGATTAGCCGTATGCCTTCCCAGGTTCTTGGCTTCAAAACCCCCTTTAGCCTTCTCTTCCGGATGAGGATCTCTTATCTCTTTCTCTCCGTGTTTTTGGGTGCACTTGCTATGTGCATGTTCACAACCATCAAAGGCACAAATTTGAACCTAAGGCTCGTAAATGTGTTTTTCTGGGATATGCCCCCACACAGAAGGGATATTGCTATTTTGATGCAGTTAATGGCACTTGTTTTGTATTTCGTGATGTCACATTTGCTGAGTCTACTCCTTTCTTTAGTATTCCTCCTGAGGGGGAGAAATCTGAGGAACCCTTTGCTATGTCTCCAACAATTCCTCTTCTTGTTCCTTTTGAGTCATCTCATGAGGTGTCTACTTCTCCCGCTAAGCCTACCTTCAATATTCCTGTTCCTCCTCCTCCTCCATCTCATCCTCTTGTAATTCCTCCTCATCCTGTTCTTCAAAGGTGGTACCAAAGGCACATATTCAAACATGGACAAGTTTCCACTCCTATAGAAGAGGCTCTTGCTCCTCCCATCATTATCGAGGTAATAGGTCAGCCTTCCTCTAACCCATCTACATCTTTCCTAGACCTTGATCTTCCTATTGCTCTTCGCAAGGGCAAGCGGAAGTGTACAACYCATTGTATCTCCAAACACCTATCTTATAGCCTTCTATCTCCTACGTACACTCTTTTCTTGCTTCTGTTTCTTCCCATGTGATACCCAGGTCTGTACCAGAAGCCTTATCTACACCTGAATGGAAGGATGCTATGATGGCTGAACTGGATGCTTTGCATAAGAACCATACCTGGGATATTGTTGACTTAGGAACCAGTGGGTTGTAAATGGGTATTTGACATTAAATATCACTCTGATGGCTCTGTTGAGAGGTTTAAGGCCAGGTTGGTTGCTAAATGCTACACTTAGATGTATGGTATTGACTATCTTGAGACATTTGCTTATGTGGTTAAGATGACCTCAGTCCAGGTTTTGTTATCTCTGGCTGCTACTTTTGATTGGCCTCTCCACCAGTTTGATGTTAAAAATGCCTTCTTGAATGACGATCTATATGTTTTTTCCACCGGGGGTGTATGGAAAGGAAATGTAGGGGAAGGTGTGTAAACTGCAGAAATCTATTTACAGTCTCAAACAGTCTCCTCGGGCTTGGTTTGAGAGGTTCAGAGCTACTCGTCTCATTTGGTTACACACAAACTCAATCGAATCATACCTTGTTCTTGAAAAGAAGTGGCTCTCTGGTGACCTTTTTGATAGTCTATGTTGATGATATTGTAGTCACGGGTAATGACACCCAAGATGCCAGTAAACTCAAAAGATTTCTTAACTCTGAATTTGAGATCAAGGAGTGTTATCAGTCAATTTATGCATTCTCCTAGAGATACTCATTTAGCTGTTGCAGAAAGAGTTCTGTGTTACTTGAAAGGTACTCTAGGGAAAGGTATTCTATTTGCCAAACATGGACACATGAAGCTGGAACATTACACTGATGCTGATCAGGCAGGATGTATTGATGATAGGAGATCCACCTCAGGTTATTGTGCTTTGGTGGTAGGGAATATTGTTTCATAGAGGAGTAAGAAACAGTCTGTAGTTGCTAGATCCTCTACTGAAGCCGAATATAGGGCTATGGCACATGGTGCGTCAGAATTACTGTGGCTATGATCCCTTTTAAAAGAATTGGGAGTTGACTATGAGAAGCCAATGATGCTCTACTGTGACAACCAAGCAGCTATCAATATTGCACATAATCCTGTTCAACATGGTAGAACTAAGCACATTGAGGTTGATAGACATTTTATACGGGAAAGAGTTTCCTCAAGAAAAGTTTGTTTGCCATTCATCACCTCAAAATAGCAATTGGTTGATATTTTGACCAAGGGAGTTCTGAGAGGGAAGTTGACACACTATATAAGCAAGTTGGGCATGATTGACATCTATCCTCAGCTTGAGGGGGAGTGTAAAGAGACTAGGCTGAATGGGCCCTAGTATCTTTTCTTGTAGTATGTTTTATTTATTTGTTAGCTAATGGACCTGTTATTTCTTTTTCTCGTTCTCTTTATGTTACTGCCTAGTTGGCCGCCCACTTAAGGGTATACTTGTAATTATGTTAAGATTGAAGTTTAGTAAAAGGATTAGAGAAGGGAGGGAAGAAATATTTGAACTCTTCTTCTTCCTCCTCTTTCTCCATCTTCCTTCTCTTGTATTGTTGTTCGCTTCTTTTCCTCCTCTTTTCTCTCTAATTTTCCCAAGTTTACATCAGATTTAGAGGACTGATTTACATCTATCTCAGAACGGTTGGATGACACCTCGGCACCACCTAGGCGATGACTTGCCTTAGCCAAAATGGAGTCCCAGCTGGCGACCTACCTCCACTAACATGGCGACCATCCGCTGCCGACCTGGCGACCTGCCTCCGCCGACCTGGTGGAAACCTAGCAGGTGACCTCGTCCACAATTCAGGGCGGCTAGCAGCACCTCGTCCAGGGTTGACCTATGGTACGTCGTCAGTACCGGCCGAAGTGACCTCGACGTGAGGAGCGACCTCCCTCGAGGGCTTGCCGACTTGATTAAGGTCTAGGTGGCAACCTACGGGATGTGCTCGCCGACCAATTCTGCATGCATCCCATCACTCCCGGGTCTCTCGGAAGTTGGCTCCCACACCGAATGTTCCAGAGGAAACCAAATAAGGCGCAAAGACTGGCCTATGTGCACGACTACCTTTGAGGACTTCGGACCGGTTAGGCACATCACCCAGAGATCTCGGACGTGGTGCGTGAAGCCCACGCCAAACAGTGCCTATATAAGGGCCTTACCCCCAACCTCAGGAGGTATGCTCAATTTTGCTCTCACAGCTCTCCAACTCTCTAGCATTTTAGCGCTCTAAAAATCTCTGCATTCGTTGACTTAAGCATCGGAGTGCCCACCCCGGGTAAAGAAACCCGGGCACTCTGGCACTGTTTCCTTGCAAGTCGCCCCAGTTAACTATACAGCTCGTCACTGTTCAGCTAGGCATCAGGGCCACCTTCCAGGTAGGAACCATTCAGCTAGGCATCCGTGCCACCTTCAGCTAGGAACTGTTCAGCCAGGCATCAGGGCCACCTTCTAGGTAGGAACCGTTCAGCTAGGCATCCGAGCCATCTTCTAGCTAGGAACTGTTCAGCTAGGCATCCGAGCCACCTTCTGGCTAGGAACCGTTCAGCTAGGCATCCGAGCCACCTTCTAGCTAGGAACTGTTCAGCTAGGCATCCGAGCCACCTTCCAGCTAGGAATTGTCTAGTGCGGTGTCTGAGTTGCCATCCAGTAGGGAGCTGCCAAAACCCGCATCATCAGTAACTATTACTAGCATAAAAAAGGAAAATGAGACTAACATGATCACAAGCTTTTATTGGGAACTAGGACTATAGACTCTTCAGTATATAAATAAAAATCATAGTTTTCAAGGTGCCAAGGCGAGGCTAGGCGCCAAGGGGGCACCTTGTCGCCTAGTCGCCTAGGTGCCCGCCTAGGCGATGAATTTTTTCAAGTAAAAATATGTATCCTAGGGTAGTTTCCTAGGTTCCATAGTCATATTTCCTTAATAATTATCCATAATTTTCATGAGAAAAGTATAAAATTCATGTTGAAGTACAGAAAATCAATATATTCCAACATATTCATGAGAAAAAAAGAAGAAAGAAAAAAAAATTCAAAAAAATATAAGGGCTGAACCCCTATTTCTGTTATAGGAAAAGAAGAAAAGAAAAGGTGGAAGAAGAAAATTGGTATATAGTATAGACACAAAATTAGTAAAGAAAAAGAAGTAAATTTGTTGGTTAGGCAACATTTTAAATTCTTCCTGACTTATTGGTTCAGGTTTTGAAGTCTTTCAGGGTTCAATACAGCATTTAGGAATGTTTGTGTTGATTAAACCCTAACAAATAAGAAAATAATAAAATGAAAGTAGTATATAAACACACAAAATGAATATTTTAGTTTAAAAATGTCTATTTTAAAATTATAACCTCAAGAAATTAAGAATATAAAAGTTTTGTCTAACACACTATAGAAAACTGTTTGGCAATTAGGCGAGGCAAGCCTCCAAGGGTGCCTTGCCACCTAGGTGTTGCCTTGACAACTATGATAAAAATAGTGTTATAGAATTTGAAAAACACCACATCTTTTATTAAACGCCCTTGGCAGCTTGTTGTTGGTGCACTTACATCTTGAAATATACAGGTCTCTCTGTCTTTAAGGCCCCTAATTTTTTAATATTACATAAATAAATTAACATTTATGCTGTGATACTTAAAGTGTATGTCTTTAGATTTCAACAACATTGAAATCTTGATGATGCTTACTACTGTGAGTATATTATCCAACCTATGAACTCTAGAAACAATAGAAAGCTACAGAAAACAACTCTAAAATATTGGGGTTTTTACTTCCTACCATTTTGAACTTAATACCGTTTTGACTTAATGAAATGTAGCCTTGAAAGATATGAAATCCCTAATAAGAAAGCCCAAATTACCATTTTTTTCTCAAATTAAAAAAAAATAAGGCTGTGTTTGTTTCCATCTAAGAAGGGCAGAAAACAAAGTTTTGTCCATAAAAGAAGTGGAAGCATAAACAGTTTGAAAAAATTTCTGTCTAATTACTATGAAACAAGTGGAGCCTAATGGGGAAACTCATGAAAACCTTGAACAGAAGAGCCAGATAATATGGCCTAGTTATTGGAGAGCATATTTGAATTTTGACATGTCAATCCGCCATGGTGCTAAAAAGAATTTATGGTGGAAAATATCCATTGTTGTGTCTCAACAGAATACATTTTGCCTGTCTATATTATATACTTCCATTCATTCCTTGTATAAACGTGGTTATCTTTTTCTTCCTTTAGGAAAAAGTGGTTTTCTTGATGTTGGTTTGTCTTCCATTTTCAGTTCTATCAGAGGAAGAGAAATAGGGAATGAGAAATTAATCGGGATTCTTGATTTGCAACAAATTACAGTTAAAAACATTGATGCTCGTGCTTTAATTACTGGATTTCAGTTTTTGCAGGTAAGTTCATATTTTCTAATAATTTAATGGAAATAGTAGTTATTGTAAATTATCGAGTAGAATTTTTTAGTTTTTTTTCAACAGGTTGAAAGGAATCATTTCAAATTATCCATAGGGTTTTGATGCATATGTTCTTTATATAACATAATCTCTAGTCAAATCCTGTTTCAAAATCTTGAAGGACTCCATTTGCTTTTCATTAACATCTCTTCAGTGAATTTGTTTTACATCATGAGTTTTTATTTTCAAGCATTAAGAACATTTGGAGAGAAATGATTGCCGCTAAGTTTTCCAAATTTCCAGAGAAGAAAATAAGTAGTATAGAGTTCTGGTCTGGACAATTAATACTCTCCTGTCCAATTAATACAAAATCCAACTATAATGGGTGCCGATTTCAATTTCTATGTTTTGGGATCTCTCGCTGGGTGACATGACCATGTTTTGATTGGCTGATTCAGTGGGATTTGTGATTTAAAATTTAGATTGTATAGAGCAAGTTCCCCCTCTCCCTGTACAGCTATGATTACTGGATTTGTGCCAATATTCAAATCCAAATAGACCTTGGAAACTATGAACTGTTCACACCACTGGGTTAAAGTAACTACTGAACTATATCAGATAAGATGGTGATTTAGGGATACTCTACTTTTGATGAATGGGATTGTTCATCATTAGTTGAAAATATTCTTTGAAAAAGGCAAGTTCATTCTTGTTAATATAATATTAGGTTATCTTTTGTCTTTCCACCAAGAGTTTTCCCCACTTTCAATAGGAGGATGTTCACAAATCACTACCCATTAAATATCCCTTTTTTTTTTTATTTTGCTTTATATCAATGGACTAACCCTGTTGACCTACTGAAATTATGGGAGAAAGTCATCTTGCTGTTTTGGTTAAACTCCAGTCCAGGTATAAAGACATTGTTCTTAACCAATTCCATAGAGTGGGGAAGTTATAGGACTAACAGGCAATTATAATAATATTGTTATGTGTTCTTACTTCATGCAGTCTTACTATCCAGAACGGTTGGCAAAGTTGTTCCTTTTAAGTATGCCCTGGTTCTTTGTCAGTATTTGGAGGATGGTTTCTTGCTTCCTAGAGAAGGCAACACTTGAAAAGGTATGTTTTCTTTTGAAAAACAAATAAATTAGATATATAGGGTACCATAAAAAACTTCCATCAACATGCAAAAAGGCTCTTCCCAACTAACCCACTATTCTTGGGCAAAGTTCAGCCTAAAAGAATTTTTTTTTCATATTCCATACAAGAAGTTGCTGATCGAAAAAACATGACTCATGTGGAACACCAAAGCTCCTTTCTTTAGGTATTTTTAGATTAAAATTTTCAAACTTGATCGACTTTTATTATTAGAGATGTTTGATGCATAGTGGGGCATAAAATTGAGAGACTTAGAATAAGCTAAATGCTACTTCAAAGCATCACCTATCTGATGATCTGTTTGAGTTGGCTGCATCACCCAATCACCTGACTGAAATTGTAGAGGTTATTTACAGAATTCCTAGTGGTGACCTGTTCAGGAAATCTCATAGCATTGTGAGTTTAATAGTGTCAACTGGGACATCTTTTTTTTTTCTAAATTTTCTTGTAGTCTTGGTTCACTTCAAAATTGAAGGTGATCATAGAAATTGATGTGTGGAATTTATTCTGTCAATCCAGTATCTCACATTTTCATGATTTCATTTCTATTTTCCTTCCCATTCTTAATCACAGATTCATCAAAAATGGATTATTTGTGGAATGTTAATAACAGTGAAATGAATCCATTTTGGAGACTACAGTGTGAGCTTAAATACCATGCAGAATTGTAGTGAAATGGTTCTATTGTGCGTAGTGTTGGAACAGGACCTAAGTCCATGATAAAGGATTAATTGGAAGATATGGCAGTGATGATTCCAAAAATTCAAGCTCAACAGACAATGTGGGTCTCTCCCTTAAGGGAAATTTCTGCTGAAGGATCTAGTTAAAAAGAGGCCTAAATCTAGCTATTTAATAGGTTTTGCATTTATCAGAAAATTATATTGCTAGAACTAATGTCTTTTTTGCTGTTGAGGCAGATTGTCATTGTCACCAATGAAAAGGAGCGGAAAGCTTTTATAATGGAAATTGGGGAGGATACCTTGCCAGAAGAGTATGGTGGGAAAGCAAAACTTGTAGCTCTCCAGGATGTTAAATTGAGCCATTCTCCATCCCAGAATTAAATATACATATTTTAGAATTTCCTCCGTTTCTAATTGCATTATAATAATGACACAATGGTAAGGGCAAATTAAATAAATTTCAACAATTTCCATAACCCTTAAATTTCTTCTAGTTATGTAACACTTGTACTTGAGAAAGGTTAATATGCTTCAGATGTATTAGATTTCATGCGGAATTTGACAGCTTCTTGGTAAGATCCACTTGGATCCAACAGATGTAAACATTTTGGGGCATCTCTTTTTTCATTTTGATTGCATGCAGAAGTAAAATAAATAATTTCCTCAGAATGATGCTGTGGGAAAACAAATAATTTTCCTAGTGTTTGGCTTAACTTGGAAAATGAACCTCAAGTGTTTTGTAATATATATGGCTATTGGTGAGATTTGAATCAAGGGGAGCTATCCTATATGAAAAGTGGGTTGCGGAAATTGCCCATTTTCCTTCATTTTATGTGCAACCAAATGGATTTGAAGATAAAGAAATGGATGATTAGTAATAGAAATCCCTACTGGAACTTGTAAATCCTTTCACCAATACTTCCTTTTTATGGTGATGGTTCATCAAGTCTCACCTAAATTTCTAGGGCTTGGGGGATGATGTTAGTAATGGGATGTGATGACACTGAATTCAAGCTTCTTAGTCCTTGTTCATATCTGAACCGACCTAACCTGGCGGGGTCATATGCAGGAAGAATGAAACTAATCCATTATAGAAAGTAATATAAAAGTTGTAAAACCTTGAAGAAAGGCCTAGTATTTCACTCATTAAATGTTGCAAATCAATAAATTGATTGGCCTCACAACTTGGGTTGAATTCATCTGGTTTATATTGATTGCCTTGGTCTCCGAAGGGTAGCCGAAGGCTTTGAGGATTCGGAGAGATCGTTGTTGAGGCCGAGGCGGGGTGGACTCCGAGTACGGTAGAAGCCGAGGGTAGGTGGCTGAAGTGTTGCAAGGCAGTAACTCGTCAGAGGTCCTGGGTGAGAATTCGAGGCAGAGTATCCGACAGTCAAGTTAGTACAGGGTACGAAGGAAGAGTACCAGGACAGGATCCTGGTAGGTAATTCTAAAATAAAATCACAGCGACAGTTATTGCAATAGCGCTTATGATAGTAGCTGTTGGTCTTGAGTTTTTGTAACCCCCTTACCTGGAGGGAGGTACCCCTATTTATACTTGAGCTGCCTGGAGGTTGGTGGAGATGAGCGCCTGAGATGGGAGACGTATGAGGGCCTGCAGCGGGTTTGGTAGGGTCATATGAGCGCATTGTGGTTGGCTCCGTACGATGGGGGCAGGGTAACCCCTGCTATAGCGGATCTCGTTCCCTGATCTGGCGCTCGTGGGCTAGGCCTCCCAACCTCAAATGGGCTGGGTTGGGTCACCCCACATCAAATTCCAATTCTGATTCGTAAGTGATGATGCGCAATCCGGCCGGTCTTAGCTGTCAATGACCTTGCCTCTGAATCGAGTAGTGGGGGACTTGAAACGGGGGAGATGAAGAAGCTCCGGGGAGAACCCGGTGTAGAAGCTCCGAAGCTTAAGTTAGAATCCTTCAAAGGCAAGATAAACCAGATAGCGCAAAGTTTGCATACCTCATCTTTGGGGTGGAGAGCCTTTTATAACCACCTCGCGCACTCACTCCTAGACTCCTGTCAGATCGAGAATGAGTATTTTCGTGCTTCTGCCAGTTCGGGCATCATCACCTCTGCTGGGACAGAACCGTCACTGCTCCTTTTGTCGGAGCCGTCTTTGTAACTGGAGGCAGTGGTGATAGGTGACGGTGGCAGGTGGCCGTTGGAAATGCGGCCGTCAAGCATCAGATCCCAAGTCAGTCAGGTGCGCCGCCCCTGGATACGGACTCCTTCGGTGTCAGGTACGGCGTGGTTCGTCCAGTTCAATGCTCCGGGAGCGAAGTGCCTGGAGCGGTGCGTGAGGCAAAGTCTCGAGTTCGGATAAGGGGAGGCCCCGAACTGTCATAAGGCGGGCC